CGTATGTCAGTCATTTTTAGGGGACAGGCCCATGGTGCCTTTTGATTAATTTTGCACCCCCTACAATATTATGTAATAACGAACAAATTAATTTCATCAGAGTTTTTATGATTTACTAGGCACACGGTGGTTGGTCTCCCAAAACCTACAGAAAACTATCCTCACACCGTAAAACCCTGACTTACTCATACAGGAATCCCACCCCAGTCTCCTTATTTTGTTTCTAAGGGCCGTGATGTGGATGAATGGCTCTCGCTGTATACTTCATGAAACTGCTGGAGTTCCCATGTCTTTCTGGGAGAAATCTGTAGTTAGGGAAGCTGGAATTCTGATCTAGAATCACTTTTTAATCCTTCATTCAAGCTGGTCACAAAAATCTACCAGCTGCCGGAAGTGGGAACGTCACACATGCCTCGGACAGTGTGGCCAGGAGGCTGCCAATGCAGAGAATAAAACACCGAGGCAACAAAATGAAAACAGTAAGGGTTTCTACTTTTTTGAGAATGTACTGAATGCACTAACCTGACATCATGTTGGCGCTGCTGACAGGCGTGCTGCCCCCAGCCATGCTCGACGCGCCCATCCGAGCCTGGTCCTTGGGCTGGTGTGGCGGCAACTGGTGGGCCTGGGGAGCGATCTTCACCCAAATGCAGCAGCAGGGATAGAGGCTGCTTCATCGTTGCTCTTTAGGGATGAGGAACTCAAATTTGGAAGGGGAGGAAAACATTTGTCCATGAAATATTCCACCAGCAGGTAATTTTTCAGGGAATCCCCTGAGTTATGAAAGTTCGAGTAAAAAAAAAAAGAGAGAAAGAGAGAGAGAGAAAAGAAAGTCAGCCTATTATATTTTTTTATGACTGAACTACTATAAATCCACAAGCAACGGGTCAAACACGGTGCTTCTGAAGTGATTCCCCCTCCCCGCCAGGCGCAAGCTGCATCAAGGGCAGGGGTGGGCTCCCCCACCTCTGCTCAGGCATCCGGAGAGAGAAGGGCCATTACTGCTGAGCGCCAGCGGCAGCTGGAACAGGCATCCCGAGGGGGTTGGCAGCCGCAATCACTGGTGAGCCTGCCAGAGGTCCGAGAGGTGAAGGGGTTGGCACTGAAGAAATCCCTGAAAGAGAAGAGCAGGCAGTGAGCTAGAGAGACCAAACTGAAACCAAACCCACTCCCACCGAGCCGATTCTGAGCCCCAGTGAGCTCTTAGGACAGAAAGCAGTGCCCCGTGGGTTTCCGAGGCTGTACATCTTTGTAGAAAGCCCCGTCATTCTCTTGCAGAGCAGCTGGTGAGTTTGAACTACTGGCCCTGTGGTTAGCAGCCCAAGTGGTAACTCACTAGGACACCAGTCAGGGCAGTCTCCACAGCCAGTTCTGCATGGCCCTGATCGCAGAAGTGACACACGGCAGCCGTCTCTCTTTACTCAGGGGTCAGCCTTAGCCAGATTCTACTGTGCCTCCACCCAATCCTCACAGATTCAAGTGTTCAATATGCCGAGTCCCAATAAAAGCAGGCAGGCAGAGAGTTTAAGGAATGTGTCCAAGGTGGCAGGTGGCAATAAGGCTTGGACCGAGATCTAAGGCAGCGCTGGCCAGCAGAGCTTCCTGCGATGAGGGAAAGGCGCTGCTACTCTGCTGGTGAACATGGTGGCCCGCTCGTCACATGCGCCACCACTGAGCACTGAAAGGAGAGCAGCAGCAGAACCAAGAGCGGACACGGACAACAGAGGGATGGGCTCCCCAGCCCCCGGGGCTAGTCAGCTGAGTGGTTTGGGCAGGACGCTGGCTTGTGGATGGGGTGCTTCTGGGTCCGTAATCGGGGGAGGCTGGACTGCTGATTCATGGAAGTGCTGCTGAGTGCCTCTGGGCTGAGGCTTGTAGGAAGTGGGTTTACTGAGTCATGGGGCTTGAGGTCAATGCCTTCAGGCTGAGGCTTACGGGACTGGTATTCCCTTTGGGCATTAGCAGATCTGAAAGAACTGTGTAACATGTCCTGATAAGTAACTCAAACTTGAGCATTTCCAATCGGCATTACAACTTGTTACTGTCCTTCATAAACTCTTCAGTCGGGACTTTTCTCTGTGCGCTCTGTGCAGTCATCAAATGGATAGAACGCATACGAGTTAAACAGAGAACACTGATTCAGACATCACACCACCGAGTCGATGTCCACAAAGACTTAACCAGTGCCTGCTTCTGCTGTTACCAACAAGGCTGCCACGAGTAACCTTCCATGTATGTTCTTTTGCACATGGGCAAGACGCTATGTAGAGGATCAGTTCTGGAGGATGGGTCTACTTCTTTAAAACAGAATGGTGACAAGAGTGAGGATCTGAGTGGATGCCCTCACTACCACGAGTATGTCCACTGGGATGCTGCCTGCGTATGTCAGTCATTTTTAGGGGACAGGCCCATGGTGCCTTTTGATTAATTTTGCACCCCCTACAATATTATGTAATAACGAACAAATTAATTTCATCAGAGTTTTTATGATTTACTAGGCACACGGTGGTTGGTCTCCCAAAACCTACAGAAAACTATCCTCACACCGTAAAACCCTGACTTACTCATACAGGAATCCCACCCCAGTCTCCTTATTTTGTTTCTAAGGGCCGTGATGTGGATGAATGGCTCTCGCTGTATACTTCATGAAACTGCTGGAGTTCCCATGTCTTTCTGGGAGAAATCTGTAGTTAGGGAAGCTGGAATTCTGATCTAGAATCACTTTTTAATCCTTCATTCAAGCTGGTCACAAAAATCTACCAGCTGCCGGAAGTGGGAACGTCACACATGCCTCGGACAGTGTGGCCAGGAGGCTGCCAATGCAGAGAATAAAACACCGAGGCAACAAAATGAAAACAGTAAGGGTTTCTACTTTTTTGAGAATGTACTGAATGCACTAACCTGACATCATGTTGGCGCTGCTGACAGGCGTGCTGCCCCCAGCCATGCTCGACGCGCCCATCCGAGCCTGGTCCTTCACAACTGTGTCTGCAAGACAGAAAGGGTGAGGCTCTACTTTCCTTGGAGGATTTCGCCAGCAGTCTGGAGCACTAACGAGCCACCTTCGTATTTTATAGACTCCGTAGTTGTCACTCCTCTCTGCCATCCAGGCCAACTCCGAGAGACGCTGTCCAGGGTTCCCGAGGCTGTACATGGTGACGGGAGCAGACGGCGTCAGCTTCCCTCCCATGGCGCAGCTGCTGGGCTTAAACCACCCACCTTGGAAGCCAGCAGCCCAATGCTTAGACCACAGTGCCACCAAGGGTTCCTGAGAACTCAGTGGAAGCTACCTGCATCCTGAATTAAGATAAGCAATGTAAGAGACACCCGCGCTGTCAACAGAGATGAAGGCTAACTCCTGTGTAAAGAAAATGGTACAAAGATGTGACCATTTCCAAGAGTAGAGCCAACTTACACAAAGATGGTCGAAGGCTCAATGGGAAATGGTATAACCTAAACTGGTCACCAGCAATTCCCAGAATCTAAATGCTTAATCAAATGATGCCTTACATATACTATTAGATTTTACTACACACCACAGCTCAGAATTGTGGTAATTGAGAAGAATATTAAAAGTACCAAGGACTGCTAAAAGGGCAGAGAGATGGGTCTTGGAAGAAGTACAGCCAGAGTGCTCCTTGGAGGCGAGGCTCTGTCTCATGTACTTAGGACATGTTGTCAGGAGAGACCAGAAAAAAATAAACAAACAAACAAGAGAAAGGTTCTCAAGGAAAGAGACAGACGTCGGGAGCCGGAGGTGTTTCGTAGTGTTGTGCAGAGAGGGCTGCTCTGAGCCGGAATCTGCTGATGGCGCCCAACAACAGAGCTCAGCTGGTGAGCACGGTGCCAAGAGGACAAACCTTTGGCCAAAGAGGCGTGAGGGTCAGCACAGTAACAACAGACTCTACACTCCATTCTATCTCTCCGGTTGGCCTATTTTGGTACATTAGATTGGGCCAGAACTTAAGGGGTCCGTCATAACACCACCCCTTTCACTTCCTAAAGAACACTCCGATTTAATGTGAAAACTAACACCACAGAGACGATGGGGTGAGTGTGAGTGGCATTTTCACACAGGACAGCAGTCAGAAATACTCATAGGATTTGATTCCCTGGTTTGGAGGTTTAGCATCCTCTTCTCACATAAATTGTTCTAATAATGTGCTTAGTGCTTCTTTTCTACCTTCTAAGTCATCTGCTAATTGCCTCCGGGCCTAAAGGCTTCCAAGTGGTCATCCAAAACACAGCCATTACTTTTTACTTAAAAGAGGAGCAATTGAGGAAGGAGGTGTGTCAGCAGTGGGGAGGAGGACGTGGAACACAGGGTTCACTGCCTCCTTGGGCACGACAACCAGAAGGTGCCTACAACCACTGGTCATGCTAGGTCCAAGACTCTGCAGGAGAAACCTGATTCAAGGGAGCAAACAGAAGTTCAAATTCTTGTGGTCCCAGACTTTCTGGAGCCGTAGAAGCTGGATGAACCTCTGGAACTACTGCCTGGACATGATCTTTAAACCATACACTGAAAACAACCGCTGCCCAAGTCTCCTTAAGACAGTTCACTTAGCTCCATGAATGAAAAAGGTCTGCCCCGAGCTTTCTTACGCTCTTTTTAAGAACCAGCCAATTGACAGCAGCACCTGGAAAGATTAGACAGAAACCTCAGGGCAGCGAGTTTACATCAAAGAGGAAACAACAAACCAGAAAAGGAGGCGAGAACGGCTGTGCAACGCAAAGAACGTGACTCGGTCATTACACGTACGTGCAAAAACTTAAATTGCTATACGTTTTTCTGTGTATAGTCTCTCTGTCTCACACACACACACACATGAAAGGGGGCGACTCTGGGCCCAGAGCTTTTCTCACAGCAGGCGCTCCCCCTGCACTGGTGGGTGGGAGGGCCTGACCAGGCTCGAGGCACAGGACAGACTGTGGGGACTCACAGAAATAGGGGTGTTCCATGGCCTCTCGAGCGGTGAGCCGGGACTGGTGGTCGTATCGCAGTAACTTGTCCAGGAAATCCAAGGCCTCCGGGCTGACAAGGTGTTGGTTTTCACTGTGGACGAAGCGTTCCCATCGCTTCCGCGAGTGCCTGCAAAACCGAGCAGGGGAATAAGCCATGGACCAGAGGCAGCAAAGCCTAAGATCTCCCTCCCAGATTTTCCTTAGTGGACAGGAACCCAGCCAACAGCAAAGTGGGACCAATTGCCCGGCCAGCAGTGTCACAGCACTGTCGCTGGAGAAACACCACCTCTCATGGGAGGGAGGGGTTGGAAATGCTGGTGGTGTACACGTCTGAAACACAATCCAGCTCTTTGTAGAACAAGTGCCAGGTGGCTAGGCCAACCAGGCTCCACTGCCTTCCCAGCACGCATCCTTTTCTCTGCAACTTGGCTGGTCAAAGCCTTTTTCCAGCACAGTCCACCTTCTTCAAGAGGTGAATTTGTGCTCGGTCACTATTGCCCGTCAGCTGTCTGCCCATCAGTCTTGAAGCACACACTTTCTTTCTCTTGGAGAGAGCTTTACCATTTGGAAACACTGGCCAAACCAAGAGACTTTTTTTAAGTGATGGCCTACAAGTAAAGCTTCTCTATTAAAACCCACCTTCCATTCACTTCACAGGAATCCTCGGACTGTAACTCCCACCCTTAACTCCCTGAAAGTGAATTTGAGGAAATGGTCACACAAACCAAGGCCTTTATCTCAGTCCTGCCAATGCAGCTCTCTTGAGCCCTTAGCAGCTTTGAGCTTTGACAAAGAGACTATACCTCCGGAAGATCCAAAGTGTTAGTTTATACTCAAAGTGCTCAAGCGACAAATGCATGGTCTTTTATTTTACAACTTACCTGCCCAAGATATCATTGAAACGCGGATCTAATTCAATGTTGTATTTGTCAATATAGTCGTATAAATCTTCTGTCCCCAGAACCTTGGCTATCCTCACCAACTAGGATGGAAAAAAACACAAAACCCCCAACCACATGATTAAGCAAACAGTTAATTATCGCTGAATCAATAGAAAGGGATTATCATGACTACCACAATGAATTTTATCTCCTCGTAAGTGTTTTAAGAAAAAGATGAGGCTTTTTACTCCCATAGAGTCCCAGTCTAGGAGACCCACAGGCAGCCCTCTGTGTCTGTAAGGCTGCTAGCGGCTGGCATCGATTCGTGGAGAGACTACGCATTTACTCCAAACGTGTGTGAACAGCAGATTCCAGTAACTCTTACTTGAAATCTCTCCCTGGTTAAGGTGTTGTTTTGCCCTCAAAAGCCAGCAGATGTCACCTTTCCACGCTAGTTCTGCTTTTAGACTTAGCTCACTCCTTTCTAACACCACTGCCTTTTGTACCTTTGTCCACACTGCAGCTCTCACGTTTATCATCCTAATTTACACCCTATCTCACTTACCAACTATCGTGTTGTCTGACATTTTTTCTTATGACAACAATCTATCTGACCATTTTAGCACCAACAACGCCCACCTGGTGTAACACACACTGAGGTGCAGGAAAGAGCAAGGCTGGCTGTGATGCTTCGTTAAGCTTCTGTGTCAATTTGTCTGGGCCCCGGTTTTCAGGGGTCTGGTAGGTAAGTAACAACACAGCCATTCTTCATTTGAGATCTGAAGTGGCGCACCCTCCTTCATTTCCACGCAGTACTAATTTTCCCATAATGACCTGGTCTTTGAAACCCTGGGTGGGTGTAAGTGAGGGGTTGGTGTATTTCCTGATGATACCTGCATTCTTCACTAGACTGTGAGTTCTCTGAGAATCAGGGCTATTCTTTCTTTTATTCTGTGTTCTTCAGCTGTCACAACATCTGAGAGTAAATTGATGACTTAAACCGGATGACAGTTACACGGGTGTTCATGTTAATATTATTTGAATCATACATGTTTTATGGAATATTTTACAGGCACACCTAACAACACAAGAAGTAATAATATTGGGGGAACTGTCTGATTTTAATAAGCTAAAACTGATAGCCCTCAAAAGCAGTAAGCTGAGGCCCAATGTCAAGGTGGCTAAACAAGTGGTGAATTAAAAATTATTCTAGAGTTCCACTCCCAGCGAGTAAACAGGCCTTGGTGGGACAAGCACCTGTGTTCAAGCAAGATCCACAGGACTTTCTAATGAGTAGCCTGGCCTGACACCAGTAGGAAACCTGATAGGAATAACATGTCTCACCTGATCATAATTGTCATGTCCATGGAAAAACGGCTCCTTCCGGAAGATCATACTAGCCAGCATACAGCCCAAACTCCACATATCCAAACTATAATCATACATCTGTGTAAGAGTTTAAAAAAATAACTGTTACCACACACAAATCCCCAAGGTTTATCACTTCAAAATTAAAGTGCTTTTCATTATTAAAAACAAAAAAAGCTCTAGTCTCAAAGCCTGACCAGCAACACCCTTCATATATTTTCTAGTCTTTTCTTTTATGCATTTCCCCCTTTAAGTTTCAAAACAAGACAAAACAAAAAAACCCTTTATTGTGAATTGGGTTGAAGGGTTTATATAGCGTAAACTACTTTCCATTCAATAACTCACAATTTGTTTCACATCACTGATTCTAATTCCCAAAAAGTAACACCACTACTCCATCTCCTCCTCCTGTTTCCTGACGCCCCGCCTCCGTAACCCTTCCTGACTTCGGAACTCTCTCCCTGGGTAAGTACCACCCTGTTCATCTCAAATAGCCGATTACTCTTAGGAATGCATACCTCACTTGTGTTACTGTTCCCCTTAAAGACCTATTGTTTGGCTGAAAACTGATTTCTGCTCCATATCTGCAGGGTGACTAAGGGCTATCTATAGTCTCAAGGATTCTGTCTGCCACCACAATTGTGGTCTGGCCAGTAATTGTGGTCTTTAACCTAACTATAATATCTGCATTAGGAGCCCTGGTGGCACAGGGGTTGGGATGCTAACTGCAAGGTCAACAGTTTGAAACCATTAGGTGCTCTTCGGGAGAAAGACGGGATTTTCTATTTCTGTATAAAAGTTACAGTCTCAGAAACCCACAAGGGCAGTTCTACCCTGTTCTATATGGTTGTTATGAATCAGAATCACCTCAAATGGCAGAAAGTTGGTTTGGATAACTACATTTATTCACTTTCTGATGTGCTGAAAGTGGGGGTGTGTGTGTTCTAAAATTGATGTGGTAATGATTGTACAGTATGATTGAACTATTGAATTGTATGGTATGAAAATTATGTGCCAATAAAATTGGTGGGGAAAAAATTTTTAGTCTCAGAAATTCACAGGGGCAGTTCGATAGGGTTACTATGAAGGGGTATTGGCTCATAATAAGACAGTACATTATCTTTCACCATTCCAGTATTGTAAAGAATATCCTTGTGCAAGAAGTGCCTTTTGAACTCTGGAATCTTGAGGCTAAGTTGAAGAGTATGCAACTTTTAAAAGTATTTGATAATATCACCTGGACTTTTATTATCACTGGGTCATAAACTAGTACTGCAAGAATTTCAAAAACACGTGGCAAATCTTTTTATGCTACATAAACTAGATCTGGAGTTTCTAATTAGAAAAAGCAACTGAGTTGCATAGCCTCTCACGTTAGGACCAAATGCAAAACCATTCATATTCTACTGACATAATAATAAGAACAACAGGAGAGATAAATCAGTGACTTAATGTTTTATATCTCATACAAAATGGTCTGCTCAAGGTGGAGGGATGACATAAAACACCATACTTCCCAATGTACGCACAATACCAATGATGGGGCTGGGACTCCTTTTCCTCCTCTCACCTGATAGTCTACAAGCAGCTCAGGACCTTTGAAATAGCGGGAAGCAACTCGGACATTATATTCCTGGCCAGGATGGTAAAACTCAGCCAAACCCCAGTCTATTAGTCGTAGCTGAAAGGAGGAAAAAAAAGAGGGAATAAACAATGAACAATTGTGTCTTCCTGTATGCTACCCAGCACCCTGCCAGTAGAGCCTTTGTACACAAGACCAACCATATCACTCCCTCTGAAATATTTGCAGCAACTACTAATTGCCGTTAGGATAAAGATCTAACTTCTTAGCTGGACATATAGGGCTCTCCATGACCTAGTTCCTGTGCTCCAGTGGGACTGACAGTTCCTGAAAGACACAATCT